AATGAGTGAGTCATTGAGATTCAACCGATTCGTTCAAACGGCTGATTCATTCAGGAACAAAGCATTTGACTGTGTTAGTTAACGAGTGAATCACTGAATCATTTTTATCAACCGATTCGTTCAAAAAGCTGATTCATTCAATAAGTACACACCATGCATTGCTCAGAGACGCAAAAAAAGTGCTGTGATCTTTGTTTGGAACTATTTTCGTTGGCAAAATTGAGCAAAAACAAGCAATATTATGTCTAACATTACTTATTGCTTTACTGAACTTGTATAAAATTATTATTAAATGTATGCTGATATCTGCAGAAAAACGCTACTCTTTGTGTGATATAGATATTGTTAACTATATTAAATTATATAAATATAAAAAGCATACAGAAGCAGTTTTGCCGTCCATAATTTAGAATGCCTGGAATTTTGAGTTTTAATAGACTAATAAATCAACGTGCGTGCACTCTGTGTGTGTGATTTGGTGATATAGCCTACTTGATAATGTCAGATCATTACAACAACACTTACCATAGTATCGCAGACGATGCTGTATATCGCACACCCCAGACTCGACTTGAGTGGATAATCAATCATCCGCGGTTGTGCACGCACTTGTTTGCACATGAGCAAAGGTGTTTTTAGGAGTCTTATCTTGCAAGCGCCAGACCACTGATTCGTCAAACCTGCTTTCCTGCAGTCCGTATTCTTCTGACTTTATTTTGTAGTAAGTAACGAATAAGCCTCGGGGAAATGTATCGGAGTAAAAGTATACATTTTAATTAGGAAATGTAGTGGAGTAAAAGTAAAAGTTGGCTGAAATATAAAAACTCAAGTAAAGTACAGATACTCCCAAAAAATACTTAAGTACTGTAACGAAGTATTATTACTTCGTTACATTACACCACTGACTTACGGCATCTACTTGCAGGGCAACTGCCATAACTAACCAGCCAAACTCTGACCCATGATTTGTTTAGCATTTCAGAAGGAAAATAAATTATTAAGATGTTCATTTCCTATTAAGAAATTTCAGAATGAGAAGGTGAGTACTAGCATTTGGCACTTGCATATAAACAGTAGCATTACATTCATGGAAAAGCAAAATGCTTTGTTTGTGGCTTCTTTTTTGGATGGCATCTTGTAGAAATTATTCCTCATTTTCCCCTTTCTGTTTCTTGTAACTAAAAATGAGTACATCTGTCATAGTATTTTAATATCATAAATTATATTCTTCTTCAGGACCACACAGCCGTTGGAGAAGACGCATCCTGCTCTGTTATGAAGTTAGTGGATTATTGAAATAAATCACCTGGTGAGACTGGATGCTGGGTTCTTGGGAAAAGAATGTCTAATGCATCTCTGTGGCGCAGGAGGAAATGGATCATGTGCCATCTATCTGTCAGCACCTTTACTTCTCCAACCACCTCTGTGAGGTAAAGGCTCTAAAAGTACAAAGTACTTCAGTGTATTTTACAGAATGTTGTGCACTGATGATAACATGCAAGGACCCATAGAGCTTTACTCTATGGAGTGCAAACAACCTGACATTGGTAACCATTTAAAATCTGATTTTTCCAATCATTTTCCCTTTGATTACAGAGATGCCCCTAGTTACCAAAAAAATATTTAAATAATAAAGCTAATTATTTACCTATCCCCACTTTGTTTCTTTTGTGGAACACAAAAGCAGACACTCTCAACTCCAAAAGCTATCAAGTGAAAATATGAATTTATTCACTTTATACCATTTGGCCTATGCTTACATACTTTAGGCTATGCAATTTATGCTATATCACATGCAGTAATGGACTGTTATTTGCACTGCATTCACAAGAGAGTTCTATCAAAATGAACTATTTACTTACAGAACTATTTGGTTACAGAAAATAATTTTGAATCCGATAAGAATGTAAAAAACAGTACACTCTGAAACTATAAGCTCAGTTAGCAAAAGTCAGCTGTGGTTAACTTTATGACATAATTGCAGAGACCTCAGATTGTGGGATTTTAAGTGCAGGGCAGAAGACAGGGTTTCTGAGAGGGACGACACTAGGGCAGCTGGGACACCGTCCATTTCTCATGCTTCGCTGACTGAGGTAAAAGATTGAGGTTGTCACTGTGGTTAAGGCAGACGATGGTTTAATCGAACCTCTTCATTCCAACTCCATTCCTCAGCCAGATGGGTCATGCTATCTTGCTTTATGCAAGGCGATCAACTTACCGCCTATCTTGTAGTTGGCATCCAGAATGTAAACTAATTGCAGAGAGTATACATTTTAAGGATAACTGCACGTAAAAACTGAATTGTAAGCCTTATTATTGCCAAAAAACGATTTTTAAAGCTTTTAAAAGTGCATTTTATATTTATGGGGAAGGTCATATCCTGGGAATAATTGAGAGTTGTCATTTGAACTTGTATGATGGGGTCAGATGAGGAAAGGCTACTTGAGTTTTAGTTCACTGAACTGAAAGAAGTTGCAAAAGAGTGAATGTGAAAGCAGATGGTCATGTATATTAATCCTTGTCTAAATAACACCCTCAGAGGCAATCTGCTAAAGGAATGTTTTCTCAAAGCATATTTAAAATTGGAATACCAGGGGATAATTAGCACAAATTTAATTAAAATAAATTAATGAAATAAGTATGTTTTGCAAACATTCTTCATTACATATAATTATGTATGTATATACAGTATATATATATATATATATATATATATAATTTAAATGTATGTCATACAAACAACAAATGCAACACAAAATACATTTTTAAATTGAAAATTTAATTTGCAAACACAATATTGTTATGCAACAATAGACTATTGCTATTCCTACCCATTTACTGCCCACTGTGGACAAAAAGATGAGTCAGCAAACTTCATGTAATAGAGCCTGAAGGGAAAAACCAATAAATGCATACTGCAGCTAAACACAACCTTTAGATTCATAAACCAACAAATACATACTGCAGCTGGATTCACATACAACCTAAAGTCTAAACATGTCCAGCCATGAACCATCCAAAGTCCCTGAGATGTATTGGCTACTTAATTTACATTACGACTGATGATATTATCAACAACATGTCCTAATGCATGTATCACACTGTTTGAATTCCTCTCCTGTGCACCTGGCCAAGTCCATCATATGATTCAGTCATGTGGATCCGGA